GTGATTTGGTGAAATTTCCACCAGGCTGTCAGTGTGGCGGCTATAGTTGCTGCATTAAAACATGTGTGTTGTTTGATCGATTTGGTGAGGAACGGTATGTCAGCTATATTTAATTCTTTGGATAGTGATTGTTCTATATCTAGCCATATAATATCTGATCGGTTGGGGTGAATCCATTTGTATATGTATTGCAGTTGGTTAGCCATTGAGTAATATTGAAAATGTGGTGCTTCTAGTCCTCCTTGAACCTTACTTTTTTGTAGTGTAGTGAGTTTGGTAACACTTTATTTCGATAGTCCACTTTAGACATTATACTAACTATAAGTAACTTAGCAGCTACATGTCAACTAACTGTCATTAGAGTATTAGTAGACTGTCTGCTTAATATCTGCTAACACTTTATTTTGTTGGTCCCCCAACAGACACTCTACTAACTATAAGTAACTTAGCAACTACAAGTCAACTTGTTCTTCTAACCCGAACCCTAACACCTAACCATAACCTACCAGTCTACTGACAGTCTACTACAGTCTACTAATACTCTAATGACAGTTAGTTGACATGTTGTTGAAAAGTTACTTATAGTTAGTAGAATGTCTAAAGTGACTATCGAAATAAAGTGTAACCGTGAGTTTTATCCTTGGCGTTTTATTTTTCCAGTAGAAGTGAGTGATAATGGAATCTAGTGATTTAAACCAGGTGAGTGTGGGGTGGGTTGGAATCATTGAGAATAGATAATTAATTTTCGGTAGGATCGTCATTTTTATTGCTGCTATCCTGCCGATTATGGAGATTGGAAGGTTGAGCCACCTGAGCAAATCGTCTTCTATTTTTTTAGCAGTGGTGTGAAGTTGAGTGTTACTGACTCTGACAGTCTGGAGGAGATCTTAATGCCTAAGTAAGTGATGTGGTCATGAAATAAAGTTATAGGTGATTGGTGGGGTGCCACATCCCATTTGGTTTTATGTAAAGGGAGGACGGAAGATTTGTTCCAGTTTATTGCATAATCTGATATTTTTGAGAAGGACTGGATTGTTTTAATTATTTCTTGAGTAGATGCTAGGGGTTCTTGTATATATAGTAGGATATCATCTGCATAAAGTGAGATTGTATGTGTTTGTTGTGGTGTTTCAATACCTTTGATTGCTGGGTTTTGGCGGATAGCTGCTGCTAAAGGTTCAATAAAAATAGTGAATAGGGATGGAGAGAGTGGACATCCCTGCCTCGTCCCCCTAATGTGTCAGCATCTTAAATGACGCACTAAAGCGCCTGTCGTGAAGTGACACCCGTGAACAACAGCCGCTGTTATTATCATCAATGTTCTTTTGTTGGAGTTTATTGAATGTAATGTTGTCTGAGCTGTTACGAGTGGTTTGGTCCAGCTGAAGCAGAACCGGTCCAGCCAGTGTTTCCGGACACTTCTCATGTCACACACAAGCTGCTTTCTTTCTGATTTTAAAATGTTATGAACCTTTCAACCAGCCCACATTTGACCAGTTTTTGCTTTATTTACACTTGCATTGCAAACCAGCAGAGAGGCCTAGTTATGAGGTTTGATTGACAGTTTGAGGAGCCAATGGAGTTGAAAGGTTTGGTCACAAGAAGGTTTTAAAACTTTTCATTGGTAAAATGTTTGCAAAACCCACAGATAGACGTAAAGGGTTAACGATAGTAATTTTATGAAAAATAAAAACAATATGGGAGTTATGCGATTTTTGCCAGACAACGACCATATTTTAATTTTTTGCAAAATTTATAAAGTAATTGTCTTAGAGTTTTAGCATTCCAGTGAAATAATAATAGCAATAATGAATAAGAATATTATTTCTCGCCCTCGGGACGTGTGAGCATAGGAACGCCTAAATCCGGCCCTGCTTATTAAAGTGTCAACAACTGTTGTGCAACAACCTACACTTTTCTATATGCTATTCTGTTTATTCTGTTATTGTAAGCAACAATGAAGCTTGCATTATTGTTTAACTATGTAAAATATTCATGTTAAAAGTTTTTAGAAATTTTAGACAGCCAATTTCCATTGAGGTGCTTAAGGAAGGTCATGAGTTTCTGCTGTTTATGCGACTTCAATTCTTAAACATCCTATTTGGATTCTTGGCCACGCTTTATTTCGATGGTCCACTTTGGATAGTCTAATGATAACTTTGCCTCTACATGTCAACCAGCAGTCAGTAGAGTATTAGTTGCTTAATATCTGCAGACACTTTATTCTGATTCTCCCAACAGATATTCTACTGACTATAAGAAACAGCACGTTATTCAGAAACTTATTCTACTAACCCGATCCTAACAGGCAACTGGTATTCTAATGAGAGTTAGCTGACAGGTAGTTGCAAAGTGACTTATAGACAGTAGAATGTCTACATTTACATGTATGCATTGGCAGACGCTTTTATCCAAAGAGACTTACATTGCATTTCAAGCTACACATTTACATTCTTATCAGTTCTTGCTTTCCCTGGGAATCGAACCCATGACCTTGGCGTTGCAAGCGCCGACGCTCTACTGTTTGAGCGACAGGAAAGCTGTCTAAAGTGGACCATCGATATAAAGTGTGACCGGATTGATTTAAATTGACTGTTTTTCTGATGGCCTTCAGAACTTGTGAAAGACCGACGAGCTGAGGAACAGTGTGGGTTTGGGTCTGGAAGTGTGTTCTGTTACTCACGTTGTTTCGAGAGAGTTTGAACTGAAGCACTGGAGTCTGTTCCTTGTCAGTTTCAGTGCAGATGTTGAGGACTGATGGCTGAGATGTACTGCCCTCTGCTGGTCAAACACATGAAGCTCTACAGCATTGCATGGCAAAGCGACCTGTGTTAGTAATCGAAGTAAATATTAGTAATGACATATGTAGCGCGGGTTAATAGGTGTTCTATGTCTATATGATTATGCTTGTTCAGTATTACTAGTGTGAGCTCATGCGGTGGTAAACTGATCCACTGATGTAAGAGAAATATATTGTTTGAAAACGTGGATGTTTTCCTCATTTTGCACAATTTATTCCATCAATCAAATTGAATTCAAAAATGATAATCATTACTCCTTCCCTTCAGTGTGGAAACTGGCAGTCGCGATGACAAGAGCGGTGGTTAAAGTCAACCGTAATGACAAGCGTAGTTCAGTGGGAACACAGCTCTCCTGTGCAGGGTAATGTACAGTACTCACACTGCAGTGCATTACACTAGGACTAATGTTTAAAAGCATGATATCTGCTGTAGTTTTTCTCTGTGTGTGCAACACAAATAGCTCTTTTGGTCACACTTTAGCTCAGGGTCCAATTCTCATTCATATCTAACTCTTACGGCTTATTAATAGTTAGTACGGTAGTTGTTAAGTTTAGGTATTGGGTGATTAAGGATGTAGAATATGGTCATGCAGAATAAGGCATTAATATGTGCTTTATAAGTACTAATACACAGCCAATATGCATGCTAATGAGTTACTAGTCAATAGTGAGAACCGGACCCTAAACTAAAGTGTTTCCGAACGTTTGCGCTGCATAGATTGCAGTGATATTGCATTGTGTACTGTAACACAGTGCATGGTTAGGATGTAATATTGCATTTAGTGTCAGTAATTCATTACCGTGAGTTACAGCATTTGTGGATAATTGTTCGTCGATGTTCCTTGTTCCTCTGAACAGAAGCGCTGATATTCCTTTCACTTCTGTGTTTTTGTACAGGCCTATGGGAGTGTTTCACTTCACAACATTAATTAAACTATAAGCGTTCAAAAACAACACATGAAACTGTTTTTTTCAGGATTCCTTAAACATAAGTCATATGATTTGATATATACAATATTGCTTTAAAGCAGCTTTACAGAATAAAATCTTCAATCGAATCCATCAAATAAAAATGTATCAAAAACAATAATTTATGAAAAGATATAATGCATTATCATAAAGGCTTAAAGTAAAGTGTTACTGAATGTACTTCTGTGTTTGTGTCGAGGTGTATGGAGTGTTTACATGTACATTTAATCGTTTAGCAGACGCACGTAACGCAGGAGTGCTTAAGACCGCCAGAAGACATGTTCCTGTGTTCCTGTGTTTAAAGCACACAGCCCAGGCTTTTCCTCAGTCACTTCTGGAGGCTCAGCAGACACTCATCACAGTATGATATTAAGGACAATTTCTGTCATAGATGCATCTGGAGAGTGTCGTTTCATTTGCAGGCGTTCATTAGTTAAAGTGTAATGTTTTAGTTAAAGTGTAATGTTTGAGTGTAATGTTTCTCTTTGACCAGTAGATGTCAGTAGAGAACACCACGCAGGGTTTCGTAACCTTGAGTCCTGTGTTAACATGTGTCTCCTCTAAACACTCTCATGAGATTCTGCTGCTGGTTTCTTCAAAACGTTAATCTCTCTGCGAACATTTCTCAAATTAATACAGTATAACTGGATCATGAGAACATATTTACTCCAGGTAGGTTAAAGCACATTGATCATAACACTCCAGACACATGCATGAACTGCTCAGCTGAGAAACACACACTTCTGCTCTGTGTGTTTTGGAAAGAGGCATTTTCACTCATTGTTCAGATGGTGTGTGTTAATCTCCCAATGAAAGCAGAAATGTCTGTTCTCAGGGAATATTGTCCACTAGTAACACTCGTAGACTCACTGACGTGTGTATACTTCGAGCTAAGCGTCTAAAAGCCATGTATCAGAAGTGGAAAGGTCATCTCTCTCACAGTGGATCAATAATGTTCTTTTGTTTGTCGATGGAAAAGGTTACATATATTTTGAAAGGTGAACTGTCTTTATTTTTTGAGAATATATGGAAACACTTTATATCCTTTATTTCAAACTCTGGTTTTAGTAATACAATAAATTAGGTAGAAAGATTTAAAAAACTACTAAACCATTACACATTTAATCATTTACTGTTTTTCCTAAATTGCCCCTTTTAAATGATGATTTGCTTCTCTTGAATGCATGAATATTTCCAACTCTAATGTGTAGCTTTCTGAAGAGACCTGAGTCTCTTTATTTTATATTGGCAACATTGAAGACACCTGATGTTAACAAGCAGAATAACTGAAGGAGAAAACCGTAATTGTAAGTCGCCGTTATGGTGATCAGTGTTTGTTTTAGTTGGGCTCTTGACCCATAAGCACCCATCACCTTTTCTCTTTGTTCATCTGGCGGTTATAACTCAGGTACAGCAGCCAAACAAAACTTAAAGTTAATGATATAAGGGTCAAGAGCCCAACTAAAACAAACACTGATCACCATAACGGTGACTTAAAATTACGATTTTCTCCTTCAGTTATTCTGCTTGTTAACATCAGGTGTCTTCAATGATGGCAATATAAAATAAAGAGTTCTTAATTCATCTTTGACGTCTGTCTGTTATTCAGATATTTTTGTTGAATTTTTTTTGTGTAAATTTTACTCATTTTAAATGGTTTACTTTTAAGGAATTAATTGTATTAATTATTACTCAATTCTAATTTGTTAAATTTAATTAATAACATTGCTTGTAATCTGTTGCCACAATTTTTTTATTATATAAAGCGTATTCATTTTTACAGTGTACTGTATATTGTTGTAATATAATTCTTAATAAACAAAGTGCTTGAGGTTTCCAGCAGAATACACAGATATCTTACTTGAGCGCTTGTATTTACTGAAGTTCAGATGTTCTGAGGATTAGCCTTGCCGAAATTTTCATATTTTCAACGTTCAACATTTCATTTATAAAAATAAATGTCCCAAACGCCACATCTGCCACGTGTCCTACATGACACAAAAGTGTCTTTGGCACATTAGTAATGCACAGCATAAATGTAATTGCACTTGAATGATTGTAGAAAGCTGTGGATCAAAGCTATTATGAACTGGCAGCAATAAAAGACAAACGCTGTGCCATCGCAAACATTTCTCATCAGAAAACTATGAAAACTTAGGGATGTGCAATTGTGACAAAAATCTTAATTGTCAATCATTTGCTTGATGCAGAAATTTTTCGTTTTGAAATGACATGCATATTTTTTGTGTGGGTAAACATGCCATGATTCTTCTATAGACACGTCTGTTTCAGTTAATATGTTCAACACTTTCATCTCTCACACATCTCTAAACCGTACAGGAGTAAAGAGCGTTTCACAGCACACACTGATACAATCGTTAAATACTTCATACTAACAATTACATCTTTTGATACAATGCACTTATTATTACCAGTTAAACACAACTAATATAATGTTTGCATACTGTAAATTTATGCTATATGCACTGAACTTAAAAATTGCACATATGGCTATATTTTGGTTTATAAATACCTAGAATTAAATGAAATAAAACTGAAACCCTCAAACCAATGTTTCTAAAGGTTTCATGGCAGTAGAATAGTGTAGAACAGTGTATGAACAGTGTAGAACAGTGTAAGAACAATGTAGAATAGTGTAAGAACAGTGTAGAACAGTGTAAGAGCAGTGTAGAACAGTGTAAGAACAGTGTAAGAACAGTGTAAGAACAGTGTAGAACAGTGTAGAACAGTGTAGAACAGTGTAAGAACAGTGTAGAACAGTGTAAGAACAGTGTAGAACAGTGTAGAACAGTGTAGAACAATGTAAGAGCAGTGTAAGAACAGTGTGGAACAGTGTAGAGCAGTGTAAGAACAGTGTAGAACAGTGTAAGAACAATGTAGAACAGTGTAAGAACAGTGTATAACAGTGTAAGAACAATGTAGAACAGTGTAAGAACAGTGTAGAACAGTGTAAGAACAGTGTAGAACAGTGTAAGAACAGTGTAGAACAGTGTAGAACAGTGTAAGAACAGTGTAGAACAGTGTAGAACAGTGTAGAACAGTGTAGAACAGTGTAAGAACAGTGTAGAACAGTGTAGAACAGTGTAGAACAGTGTAGAACAGTGTAGAACAGTGTAAGAACAGTGTAGAACAGTGTAAGAACAGTGTAGAACAGTGTAAGAACAGTGTAGAACAGTGTAAGAACAGTGTAAGAACAGTCTAGAACAGTGTAGAACAGTGTAGAACAGTGTAAGAACAGTGTAAGGACAGTGTAGAACAGTGTAAGAACAGTGTAAGAACAGTGTAAGAACAGTGTAGAACAGTGCAAGAACAGTGTAGCACAGTGTAGAACAGTATAAGAACAGTGTAGAACAGTGTAGAACAGTAAGAACAGTGTAGAACAGTGTAGAACAGTATAAGAACAGTGTAGAACAGTGTAGAACAGTGTAAGAACAGTGTAGAACAGTATAAGAACAGTGTAGAACAGTGTAGAACAGTAAGAACAGTGTAGAACAGTGTAAGAACAGTGTATAACAGTGTAGAACAGTGTAAGAACAGTGTAGAACAGTGTAAGAACAGTGTAAGAACAGTGTAGAACAGTGTAGAGCAGTGTAAGAACAGTGTAGAACAGTGTAAGAAAAATGTAGAACAGTGTAGAACAGTGTAAGAACAGTGTAGAACAGTGTAAGAACAGTGTAGTACAGTGTAGAACAGTGTAAGAACAGTGTAAGAACAGCGTAGAACAGTGTAGAACAGTGTAAAACAGTGTAAGAACAGTGTAGAACAGTGTAAGAACAGTGTAAAACAGTGTAAGAACAGTGTAGAACAGTGTAAAACAGTGTAAGAACAGTGTAGAACAGTGTAAGAACAGTGTAGAACAGTGTAGAACAGTGTAAGAACAGTGTAGAACAGTGTAAGAACAGTGTAAGAACAGTGTAAAACAGTGTAGAACAGTGTAGAACAGTGTAAGAACAGTGTAGAACAGTGTAGAACAGTAAGAACAGTGTAGAACAGTGTAGAACAGTGTAAGAACAATGTAAAACAGTGTAGAACAGTGTACGAACAGTGTAGAACAGTGTAGAACAGTGTAAGAACAGTGTAGAACAGTGTAAGAACAGTGTAGAACAGTGTAAGAACAGTGTAGAACAGTGTAGAACAGTGTAGATCAGTAAGAACAGTGTAGAACAGTGTACGAACAATGTAGAACAGTGTAGAACAGTGTAAGAATAGTGTAGAACAGTCTAGAACAGTGTAGAACAGTGTAAGAACAGTGTAGAACAGTGTAGAACAGTCTAGAACAGTGTAGAACAGTGTAAGAACAGTGTAGAACAGCTTAAGAACAGTGTAGAACAGTGTAAGAACAGTGTAGAACAGTGTAGAACAGTCTAGAACAGTGTAGAACAGTGTAGAACAGTCAGTGTAAGAACAGTGTAGAACAGTGTAGAACAGTGTAAGAACAGTGTAAGAACAGTGTAGAACAGTGTAGAACAGTGTAAGAACAGTGTAGAACAGTGTAGAACAGTGTAAGAACAGTGTAGAACAGTGTAGACAGAGCCGATCCTGGCATCCCTGGGGCCCTAAGCAAAAATCTGTTAAGGGGCCCTCCTACCTGACCCATGTAAACCATTTGCCATTGCCACACAGTCACACCTGACACCCCAGTTCTCCCACTACAATCCTCCCTCGTTTAGTTAGTACTAATGAAAATATAATTCCTGATATCAGAAATAGACATATTTTATATTAATATCAATAATTCACATTTTAAATAGTACAAATTTAATTATTGATATCAAAAATGCATCCTGTGAATTAATAAAAGCTAAAATGGCTTGCCATTGCATGTCACTGTGTTTTAAATGATAAAAGCAATAATTGATACTTAATGGTTATTATTTACTGATTGATGTGCATCCATATTGACCAGTATGTCCAGCCAATCAACATTTTAAATGCAATAGTCAATATCAATAGATTGCTTTCCATCTTGCTTTATTGCAGGGTTGTAACTATTCTGATTTGGAGACTTGATAATCATTGTCTTGTTTTAAAGTGAGCGCCTAATGAGGAGTGCCATAACGCCCATATTGTACTGGTAACTGGTCCCCATAGATTTTTTTTTTTTCTGGAAAGTGCGCGTTTCATTTCGTGCACGCGCATTTGAACTCATGTTAACGCGCGACGCGGTTATCTTTTCCGAGCTGCAGTTTATAAACAAAAACCGTTGCCCTTTGTATTATCAAACGTAATATCATGAAAGTGCGTATCTATAGCCTACCACGAATTTAATTTATCGTGCTATTTATACGCCAAAAATGTTTTTTGCGTGCATATGCTACGCACTGTAAATCTCTTGGGTAGGATTAGAGGTGTGGAGTGCGTGCATATTACACGCCAAAAAGAGCGTATCATATGCACGCAAAAACTATTTTTGGCGTATAAATGGCACGAGAAATTAAATTCGTGGTATAAATACGCGCTTTCATGAGATCGGGCTGGAGACAGACAGATAGAGAGAGATGCACATCAACTTAACTTTACTGTTCTGTTCTGTGCTGACATCAAACTTGGAGAGGAGAGAACACAAGTTTACCTGATCGCTGTTCCCGCAATTCACTCACATGGTGTTTTTCTCTCAGTTTCTCTTTTCGTGACCAGAAGGATAGTTCCGCTTAATTATCTCATCGATGTTGTAAACTTTGATTGACGCGCTTTGACGCGAGGCGGAGGCGGGGCCTTGAGTAATTTGCGGGGCCCTACGCAGCTTGCGTAGTGTGCGTATAGGGAGGATCGGCTCTGAGTGTAGAACAGTGTAGAACAGTGTAAGAACAGTGTAGAACAGTGTAGAACAGTGTAAGAACAGTGTAGAACAGTGTAGAACAGTGTAAGAACAGTGTAGAACAGTGTAGAACAGTATAGAACAGTGTAAGAACAGTGTAGAACAGTGTAAGAACAGTGTAGAACAGTGTAGAACAGTGTAAGAACAGTGTAGAACAGTGTAGAACAGTGTAAGGACAGTGTAGAACAGTGTAGAACAGTGTAGAACAGTGTAAGAACAGTGTAGAACAGTGTAGAACAGTGTAGAACAGTGTAGAAACAGTGTAGAACGGTGTAGAACAGTGTAAGAACGGTGTAGAACGGTGTAGAACAGTGTAGAACAGTGTAAGAACAGTATAGAACAGTATAAGAACAGTGTAGAACAGTGTAAGAACAGTGTAAAACAGTGTAGAACAGTGTAGAACAGTGTAAGAACAGTGTAGAACAGTGTAAGAACAGTGTAGAACAGTGTAAGAACAGTGTAAGAACAGCGTAGAACAGTGTAAGAACAGTGTAAGAACAGTGTAGAACAGTGTAAAACAGTGTAAGAACAGTGTAGAACAGTGTAAGAACAGTGTAAGAACAGCGTAGAACAGTGTAGAACAGTGTAAGAACAGTGTAAGAACAGTGTAAGAACAGTGTAGAACAGTGTAAGAACAGTGTAAGAACAGTGTAG